TTTTTTTTTAAATCTAAAAAATGCGTGGATTTTGATAAGGTTTACTTTCGCGCGACACACCCACACGCCTTCGGGCGACACACTTCTTCTGTCGCGACACGCTATCTGATGGCTATCTGAGTCGGATGACTCAGGAGAGAGAACTCGATGTCTAAAGGGAGACAATCGTTCTTAAATGTACCTCCTAGGCAGTAACTGAACCAACGCTGTCCAACTTTTGAATGTAACGGGATTTATGGGGCGTACCTGCACGGTGACCATGGTGGTAAGAGCCCCCCCCCCCCGGCGCCCTTCCCACTGTGGCGGATGAAATCGTAACCGTAATAAAGCAGGCCCAATGTTGAAATGAATTAAATATTTCAAATGTATAATCTTAACTCTTCAAGATCATAATCAGTTTCTGGTTACCTCACACACCCTTCTCTCACATCCCTAGTCCACAAACCCATTCCACAAACAAACCTCTCTCACACTCTCATCTCACACACCCTTCTCTCACATACCTAGTCCACAAACCCATTCCACAAACAAAACTTTCTCACACTCTCATCTAACACACCCTACTCACACATTCCGTCTCACACACCCTTTTTCTAAGTTTCAAAATCTTTGAGAAATCTTCTGTTTAGAAACAAGATGCCAATGAATTCTTGTTAACCATTTTTATGGATTTCAAGCACAATAGCTAACACTTACCAAATTTGAGAGCAATGGCTTTGATGTGTTTTACCAAATTTGAGAGCAATGGCTTCTATGTGTTTTACCAAACAAGATAGATCTCGAAAGCCATGAATGATTGATTGCATTATTGTTTTCAAATGAGCATTTATAGGTATAAATCATGTAGAAACCTTGTACGGTATGTTAACATTTCTAAACCAAAGTAACTTTCACAATTTAAAAAAAATGAAAGTCATCACTTCTTCCGAGCAAAGTTGGAACTTAAGTGCAGACCTGCTTTGTTTTGTTATTTTGTAGAGATGACATGAGACATTGGCATTTTTTTCTAGTGTGAAAAGGGAATAGGTGGGATCATGATGCCATTAAAATCAGAAGGAAAAAAAAAGATAAGAAGATTCGACAAAAGCAGGAAGGCTTTGTCATTAAGAATGCTCTAAAAAAATTAAAAATGGAAACTTTCTTCTTGTTAACATGGGAAAAAAAAGGTAAAGTAAATAGGTTGCTAGGAGATGATAGGATGGTCACTGGAGCCAATCTAATGCTTGAAATAAATTAAGAAAGAAAAAAAAAAACAAGTATTTTAAGTTTTTAATTTTTCTCCTCCACATCTTTTTAAATCATATAAACATGAAATCGGTACATAGTTGACCATTATCAAACAAATATAAAGATCACACATATCATTCACAAGAAATTCTCTTTTTAAATGCAGTCTATAATAATATCTATTCTGAAGGTCCTAAATTGCATTTGAATTTTTTTTTTAATCAATGACACCGATGTCCAAGAAAAAAATTAACTGTATTAGTCGTCGGTTGATATTGAATGAAAATATTAAGGAAGCTGAATGTGAACATAAAATAATGAATGAAAATATTAAGGAAGCTGAATGTGAACATAAAATAATGAATGAAAATATTAAGGAAGCTGAATGTGAACATAAAATAATGAATGAAATTCATGCTGATGACATGAATCTAATTAATTCTTTGACATGCTGCATATATATCATCCTTTAAACGTTCACTAAAACACTTGCATTCATACAACTAGAGGGTTTATTGTCAAACTTTCTGGTAGTCCTCCTGCCATTCTTTGGGCTCAGCGTATCTGTTGTAGTTATCATAGTCTATTCCTGGCCTGAACTGGGGCGTCACCATCTTTGGTTCAGTCAGGGAGATGTTGGCATTCTTAAACTGTTCCAGAAATGTTGCGACCTTGGAGAGAAAGAACAATTTCAGGAATGTAATACCTCTGGCGGTATTGGAAAATAACTTGATAATAACATGTAAATAAATGTCATTAATTATGATATTGCATTTAAGTAAGAAAGAAAACTAAATAGATTTCTATTATGAAATGGAATGATTTATGGACACACTTATTTTACATGTATTTCTCTGACTAAGAGAACACATAGACGTGATACACACATTTAATCAAGTATTATTTGTTAACATATGGAGGCACTTATTTTGCTTATTTATTTTGTTAAGTTGACCAATAGGGAAATTTTTCAAAAAGCGTTATTTGCGATTTTCAACTATATGGAGATTAAATGAAATTAAAACTCCTCTTCGGTTAGCTGATTTGTTATTCTCAAATTCTGAAATTCTTTTAGTTTCAAATCTGTACCATTAGTTTTGCTGATTACAATAAAAGCAAATGACTAATTTCTAAATGTAAACAGGACAAATAATGTTAGATAAGGAATTTTCTGAGTCATGCAAAAAGACTTGCCTTTCAATTTATGGACAGTCAAGAGCATCCCTTAAATATTCGGTATTGTTAGTCTTATGATCACATAGTTATGAAAGGATTACATGGTTGTTGTGAAACATTTTTTCAACTCAAAAAGCTGGAAAACACGGTTTAAAGATTCGATAAACCAAAAATTGGCCTCCTTACCCTTGGCGCCTGTTTATTAACACCGGCCTCATCAAAGAATACTGATGTTAATCCACTTTCCAGACATCTTTGTGCCAGAATTTTGCCAATATTTGAACTTGCTGATACGTCATTGGCGCTTGAAAACAAGGTAAATGCAACCAATCAGACCAAAGTTAAATTTAAATGCATTCGCATAAATACTGGAAATTGAGCAATAAAATGAGCCATTAAACTTTGTTTTATCTTTTTCTGAAGGTAGTGTTGGAAATTTACAGTAGACTTAAGAGAGGAGTTGTTAACCAGGGATGCCTGCAACCCTCTGGAGGTGCCAGAGGCAGTGTCAGGGGGTGCGGGACGACCAAGAAATCAGGTATATTTTTATTTTTCTATGCATTTTTATCCTAACCGTGCAAGAACTATGTTTTGAAATTGAGAATGGCCTGCAGGAAATCTTTGAAATCAACAGGAGGTGCAGTGCTGCAAAAAGGTTAAGAACACCTGACTTAAGAAGCAATTAGTTCTATTTTTATTTACATTCTTATTTTAAAATGTAGCTAACAACACAATATTTCAACTTTTCAAAACACCAGCAGTTGGCCAGATATTTCTCAAGCTATAAAATAAATAAGGGCAATGGTGACACATTCAAAATCGAAACGTATTTTTTTCTTTCTACTGCTAAATAAAATGTAATATTGAGCAATGAGGGGGCGCAGCGCGACACAGATGATGCATTTTATAAGAATCTGAATTAGTGTGCCCCCCCACCTCCCCACTTGCAACCACACATTTTATAAAGCCCCTCAACTATATTGATATTCTTATGACCCACCAGCTTTTACACCTCATATTTATGTCACCAACCATACAACCATTTCAGAAAAGCAAAAGAAATATTGTACTTGCAATATTTTTTTAAAAATAATCTTATTTAGCTCAGTTTTCAGGAATTTTATTTTATTTTCCCTTGAAAAACAGGAAAAACTGATTTTTGGGGTTAGGAGGGTGGGGCTGAAAATTTGATAGCATGTGTTGTCATTGGCAACGAGTCTATGTGCCATGTTCCAACTTGATAGCTTGAGGGTAAGTGGTCAATTAGCCGTCCGAAGATTTTGCCACCCAGCCACAAACAAAAGCAAAGTATGTATAAAGGATTTTTTTTTTAAATGATCATAAAACTATAATAATAATATCAATTCAACCTTTGACTGACATTCAAAAGTCAATGCCACAAACCTGTAGAGCTGGTCTTTTATAGCCCATTCCTTAGTACTGGCAATGAGGACAACTTCCCCTGTGAAATGTTCAATCCAAGCCTCTGTGTGTTTCTGAGTGTGGGAAAATACTAACCTAAACAAAAGGAAATACAAACAAACAAAATCATCATAATTTATTAAAGTTGCAATAAGGGAATTCAATTCACTTGATTAGAAAAAAAATTTATTTGCATTATCTTTATGTGTACAATTTATAACTGTTTACCAAAAATTGCATTTTCATACAATAACTTAAACTTTTCCTTACTTATGATAGTAGTCTTTTCGTGGTGACTGAAATCTCCATCCCAACCGCTTCCTTGCAAGTGCGAGTTTTTCAAGATTTCTGGGGGAAAAAAATCATACTCTCCAGTAGGACCTTTTAGTGACAATTTAATCTTAAATAAAGCCGATTGTTATTTATAAAATGTCTATTACTTCCTATATACTTTTTCAATCTTCCAGAGATGTTAATGTGGTGTGAGCCAAGTTATTTGTGTTCCTTCATCCTTATTCATAAAATGTGCTGTTGCAGAAGAGTAATTTTTCCTTGATAAATATTTATTGTAGAGTGGCAAATTATTATTATTATTGGGAGTCTGTGATGACCTGATGAGAATGACAAAGAAAAAGTTGTAACCATGTGTACCTTGGGTTCCTGTTAACATATACTTGACTAACAGCATAATCTTTGTTAGGACTTTCCTTTAATCTGTGAGTGCTTGTTTTGATGCATCTGGAACATTCTGAAACAGATACAACATGATTATATTATATGTGTATGATTATGAAGAAAGAGGAGTTCTATTAGATTCGGTTAAGCTAAGTACTGCAGTTAAATAAATTAGCCAAATACTAATTAATAAATAATGCTCACTAATTAAAGACAGTTTATAAACAAAATAAGTTTGTGTTGAGAATTTTTTATATTATTATCTAAAGTGTCTACAACAAACCTCTAACAATTCCATCATTCATTACAAAATATTAAAATCTTTTCCCAGGATTCACTGGCAAAGCAGAAATACATTAAAGTAGAATCTAGTTTCTGCATTTATTTTACTTATTGAATTGTTATGAACTGTAGAAGTCAACTTCAAATTAAAAAGAATATTTATTAAAAACGAAGTGTGGACCCGGCTACCAGAAGTGAGAGGTTGGGATTAAAAAATGTTTAAAATATTGTTGTTGGGTTTGTAAGATAAAATTTGGTATCGAATGAAAGATAATTGAACAGGCTATATGTTTGTAAAGTTAATTCATCAGTTTACTGAAATAAACTACCACAAATGGAAACCGCATAGCATTTACTCAAAATGGATCCGGACACGCATCGTCGCTATTCGGACCCGGTAAAAAAAACTTGGTCGTATCTCTTCTTTGCATTTACCCTTTCATTTGATACCAAAGGCAAATTTTGTCATACAAACCTTACAATAATATTTTAAATATTTTTTAATAAACCCAACCTCTCACTTCTGATACCAGGACGGAATTGCTGCAGCCTATTAATATTAAAAATACAATTAGAAACATGTATTTCAAGTCTAGATGCATGAGTAAGAAATTTATTTCATATAATCGCATATATTATATTTGCCAGATAGTATATGTTATTCATTATTTGATTATAATATCTAAACATAGTGTAACTATACTAGGACATAGCATAGTTACATAGATGATAGACTTGATAGATTAAAAATGTTTAAAAATCATATAATAAATATAATTGTTGTTTAGTTTGGAGGACATTGGATGAACCATGCACGAATGCGTGTAATTTAATTTTACTACAACTTTACTCTAGAGTGGTACAGTTCTTTAATTCTCTTATATCGATCAACTTACGCAGTGATAAATTTATAACCAAAGGTGTCTGTATAAAAGTTGCATTACTGTGAGGCAACCTTGAAAACACTCGAAAGGCTGACATTTTCAATAAGTTTAAGTTTAACTAATTACCGAGACCGAGACCAAAGATCTTCCTCAAAAAGTTTCGAGAATATAAATTTTGGAGGCTATCTGTGAAAGTGATTTAACAGAAAATATGAATGATGCCGCATAGTTATAGGGAGGACAGCTTTTTTAAAAAAAACTTACATGGGGACGAGGTACTAGTATTCTTTTAATAGCCATGATAACATAAAAAAAGTCAAGCTATTTTGGACCATCCCACTCAAATCGTCACAAATTGTCAATAAAGTTAGGCAATGTAAATGTAATAATACATCATACATTCATTCATGAACCACCCTATATTCGTGACGCAATTTATGGAAGGCCCATAGTTTGCGTTTCACCTAATCAAATAGGGTGAATAAATAGGGCCGTAAATGGTAAATACATAGTTGTTTTCGTATCAGAAAGGGGGAGCATATACCACAACCTAGTTACAAGATTTAATTATTATTTCTAATCCTAGCCTCTTATAATTTCCGACTTGTCTTTTACGCTGATAACCAACTTAAACCCTTTCAACTTTTTAATGTATTTACAAATACATTGTAAAATTGCATCGCGCGCATTTAAATATGTTCGTTATTGTCAGCGTTCGCAGTTCGCAATTGTCAGTGTGCGCAATTTTCCACGAACGCTTTTGTCCTGCTATGGGCTATGTGTGCATCTTATATAGAAACCATAAATGGGCGACAGTCATGGGCGCCCGCAAGGGGGGCAAGGGGGGCACTTGCCCCCCCCCCCTGGATTGATTGGATAAAATTTTTTTTTACAAAAATAGACACAAAATTTATTAAAGTAAAGAGAAAATAAAGAGAAAGTAACTAAGCTGATGTCATGTCCGTTCGTTCACCATACACATACGCTACAGTAAATTAAAACTATTTTAAAACATTAATAAAACATTTTGCCCCCCCCCCCTGGAAAGTTAATCGATTTTTTTGCCCCCCTCCCCAGAAAGATTTCTGCGGGCGCCCATGGCGATAGTATGTAATAATCTCTAGACTTGTATGTTAGCCCTCATATATCACACTGGCTCTGAATGTAAGACGGTGTATGTCGTGTATGTGCTACGAGTTAGACCATGCCACGTGATTTAGTTTATAATTGGACATTATTACAATAATTTCATTTTAATTGCCATTTGTATGACATGTGCATCATTATGTGTATATTGTTATAATCTGTAATTACTTAGTTATTTAACGTGTTCATTGTTAGCTGTGTAATTCAATGTTAGTCATGACATTGTTAACCTGTACTATTTGTGTCTCTTCATGTATATGCCTAGTCCTTTTTCTGTGGAGTTTTTCTTTAGAAATTGTCTTTAGATTTTACTTTGGCATTGTCTATAGAATAAAACATCCACACAGCAGAAGCGGAATGGTATACAATGGACCTTGTGGGACCAGCTTGTGTCAGCTTAGCGACCTGGATTTTGCTGATGATCTTGCCCTTCTCTCCAATATCCAACAACAGATGCAGGAGAAAACCAGAACTATTGCAACGTAGTGATCTCAATATACACAAAGGGAAGAGCAAGATCCTCAAGGCCAATGCCACCAATACAGCACCCATCAGGCTCGAAGAGGAAGCACTCGAAGAGGTGGAGAGCTTTTTCTATCTTGGCAGCATCGTGGACAAGCAAGGTGGGACGGATGATGATGTCAAAATAAGGGTTGGAAAGGCACGAGCAGCCTTCCAACAACTCAAGAATGTATGGGTCTCCAAACACTTGAGTAACAACCTAAAGATCAGAACCTTCAACACCCTGGTGAAACCTGTTCTACTATATGGTGCAGAGACATGGAGAACCACTGCTGTGAATATGAAGAGAATCCAGTCCTTCATCAATAACTGCCTAAGAATGATTATCTGCATTCACTGGCCTGACAAGATCAGCAACCAGAAACTGTGGCAGCGGACAAAGCAGAAATCGGTAGAACAAGAAATCCTCCAGAGAAGATGGAGATGGATCGGCCATACACTCAGGAAGCCTGCCTCCAGCATAACTAGACCTGAACTAGAACCCTCAGAGAAAACGGAAAAGAGGCAGGCCGAGGAACACTTGGCGCCGTGAAATGGAAACAGATACCAAGAAACTTAGCCACACTTGGGGGAAGCTGAAGAGATTGGCTCAGGAAGGACTCTTGTAGGTGGCCTATGTCCTAGAAAGGACCACAGACGTCAATGAAGATCGGCTGCTGTTCCTCGAGGATGAAGAGGCGAAAGATTGTTTATAGAATCAAATAAAGTTATAGTCCTCGAGACCTGAATTTTTTAGTGCATATTTTGAAAATTTCTGCTGTCATTTAAAAAAAAAAAAAAATTACATAAAAATCTATACCAAAATTGATTGTTCTATATTGGGTCAGATTGCCCGGTGAAAAGGTTCTGTCCTCTCCATGGTGCACCGGAATTGAAGGGGCCAGTGAAGAACCAGTAGTGAATAAAAATTAACGACCCAAATTGCCCAAAATAAAAATATTATTCATATTAATCATATTTGTGTAAATTCTCTACACTCTAAACCCCCCCCCCCCCCAACCTTTTTTTTTTTTTTTTTTTTTTTTTTTTTTTGGGCCAGTGAAGAACCAGTAGTGAATAAAAATTAACCACCCAAAATTCCCAAAATAAAAATATTATTCATATTAATCATATTTGTGTAAATTCTCTACACCCTAAACCCCCCCCCCCCCCAACCTTTTTTTTTGTTTGTTTTTGTTTTTGTTTTAACATAAAATTTCAAACGTTTGCATTGTCATGCATATTCGTCCATAAATATTTTGTACACGCTTTTCATTATTAAAATATCCTACTGTTATATAAATATTAGAATCTACTCAAGTAATACGTTATAAAAAAAATAATAATTTTTAAATGTGTGTTAACCTCTCTTACTTTTAGAATTTAGCTTCCTACAAACTTAGCTCTTACAGCAAAGAGTACTATTTCCATAGCCTCGATTTCGATTAGTTTATATGAAGGCAAGGAAACGGTACTACCTTCATTTTTAATGCAACTATTCCGTCGTTGATTTATCATTGCCGATCGAAATCATTTTGTACTCTGGTTCTGCACACAATTTAGTAACGTTAATACTGAAACTATTAAAGAGAATGAGTGGTGATACTGCAGAGGTTCTACCAGATTATTTAAATAAACATCTAAGAGATGATAATCATGTTGGAGATGCCGCTAGTGAAGTCAGCTCATTTAGCCGTCGAAGCAGCACTACTTACAGCACTTTAAGTAGTTTTCAAGGCAGTTACTACAGAAGAAGCAAAGCGGGGCCATACTTGGAAGGAAACCTGCGTTTATTGGATTCTATGTATGTCTATTTTTATTATTATTAATAATGATTTATAATATGAGATTAAATATAAAAAAAAAAGATTATAATAATAAAATTAAATAATTAAAAAAATTATTAATAGATAGTCTTTAAATTTAATATAGATCAGTAATATAGGCCTTAGTACAGAAAATGGCAGCAGCATTCATACACCAATCAATCTATTATATTGGCAATTGGAGATGCCAGATGCAGCCAATTCAACCATAGTTAGCCTAAGTCTAAGTCTCAGAAATGAATACCTATTCTAGCCTATTTTGTTTATAATATCTGAATCTGTGTTAGTGTGTTTAAGTTTACAGAAAAAGTAAATAGGCTTATTACTTAGTATTACTAGAGATGACTAGATCTGGGGGCTATTACTTTCTTATATTTAATTTAGTAACAAGCATCATACTAACATTTACATGTAAAAAATTGAATTCATTTGTACCTGGTCCTGAAAGAAATCATAGCACATGAAATCAATTTTAATTTAGCATAAGTTGAATATGACATGAGCAATCAGAATAAGGTGAAAATAATATGGCATAAAACATATTAAATGAGTTTTTGAAATTCACTTCAAAGCTAGACAATTAAGATGGCACTAAAAAAAAATAAGAAGCAATGTAATATTTGGGAGGAAGAAATTTAAAAATAAGGGCATGGGGTGATTGTCAACCCAGGGACATAATATAACTGACTGTGTAGCTGAAAGCACCCATATTTCTTGATATAACTTATATTATAAGTAATGGTGATATGGAAAAAAGATGCTATCTATGTACAGTTCTGTATATCCCTGTAACATGATGCTGTGCTTAGATAAAAATATAATATATAATTTAAGAGAGCAGAGTTTTTCAGTAAAAAAAAAAAAAACTACAATATCAAAACTATTCAGAAAAGTACACTGTAAGTAAGAAGTGCTTTATGTTAAAAGACATCAGTTACCTTTGTGGTCATGTTGTTATATTCTCTCTGTTTGTTCCAAATACAATTATGCAATTTAAAAGAATGATTGATACCGTTACAAAAGAAGATATTCCACTTCACTGAAAAAAAAAGACCATTGGTGAAGAATTTATTTATATTTTTGTTTGCTTAATAATACAAAAAATAAGCATAGCTCATTTTAAAGTACACGTTTTATTGGAGAAGAATTTTTTATTTTTTTATTTGGTTTGTTTAATAATACAAAAATGGCATATGTCATTTAAAGTTTTTATCTTTATTTTTATATATAGTCTATAGTTTTGAAAAAAAATGATGATGATTTGGAAAAACTGCTAACATAATTTAATTTTAATTTAACAATAAAAATTATTTGATTATTCCTACTTCATCCCTAGATCCCAAATGGTTTGGATAATCCACTTTTGACTGTATTTCATCTTTTATTTTAATATAATATTTAGTATATAATCAATTAGTATTAAATTTGAGTTTGGTAAATGGATTATTTAATATGTCTATGGTAATGTTTCGTCCTAAAAGGGTAGAAAACAAACAAGTATTTGAGAACTTTATGAAATAGGTAATACAAGATGCCAAGGTGTTATATGAAATATAGCATAAAATACATACTCAAATTGAGCTAAAAATATAACAGCTCATAGTAAAAGTCTGGTTAAAGTTCTATTACGAACATCAATTTACATAATATAGAATAGTATCACCAAATTCTGGCACCTAAAAAGATAATTATATATGTATAACTGTAATGTGCATTTTTTTTCAGTGACAGCAAATCATCAGAGAGGTGAATTTATCATTAAGTAGTATTCCCTAGTGATGTTGTAATTTGTTATTTTCATATTTTATATGAAATTGCAAAGTGAAATGAAAGTTTCAGATTTGATGTGTCTTATATTTATAAACAAAAAACTGTATTTCAATTTGCAATTTTTTAAACCTGTTATGACATTAAACAAATTTATAACAATTTTTAAAGTTTCATAAAATTACAAAAATATTCTTGATCTTCCTGATTGTCCACGTTTTGTAAACTTAATTGTGTGCTGCCCCTGCACTTCCATCCAAATGTTTCCATTTTTCTATTTAATTGATCATTTTCATTTTACATCTTCAGACCTTTAAAGTTGAGTTGTGTTTATGTTTTGCTATATGTTAAAATATTTTTTCACTACAATTTTTTTTCTTTAGTAAATAATTGGCCTACTATCTCTAGCTTCTTTTTTTTTCTCATTTCTTTTACAGCTATATCCCATTCTTAATTTTTTAATATTTTGTTTGTATCACCAAAGATTTAAATTTAAATTAAATTTAAATAGGTGATACATTTAACTCTGTATCACTAGATTAAATTTTGGGTATACTTGAAAAAAAAAAACTCATCTATTCATCCCTGCTAGATAACCTGTATTTGGAAGGGAACCATCATTTAAAATCAATAAATATTTATTTTCTGTGAACAAGTTTAAACATCTAAAATTAAGCAATGTGACAAAGTATTTTAAGGCCAGGATTAGTTTTATATTAGTTTATACCTATCTGAAACTTCCTGTGGAAGCCTAGCAGTATGTCACAATACTATCAGGTAGTCCATGTGGATATGGAACTTACTAGACCTCATACCCTCAGACCAATGTAAGGCCTTGCTCTTTCTGATTTAAAACATCAACTAAAAACACTTTAACTAATAATAAGGATGCTACTTATAGAAATAACAACTACCAATTTACGTCTGCAGAATTAACACTAGCAACACTAAATTCTTGTTAGCATCACCTATAAAGCTTAAAATTAAAAATTTTGTATTCTTTATTTCCCCCCCCCCCCAGAAAACTCAGTTCTGATGTCCCCAGAGAACTCAGTTCTGATGTCATGTGCTGCCGATTCAATGGTGATGGCAGTCACTTAGCAGTCGGCCTATGCGATGGGACCATAAAGGTGAGATAACTCATTTGGGTTTTTGTGTATACTTCCTCCAGCAAACCATGTCTTTGGTGAAAAAAAACAACCTACTTCTAAATACGGAATATATATATGAACTAGATATGAGATATTTAATAACTAGAAATGGGATAAAATTGTAAATGCTATGCCATTTTTAAAAATTCTTTTATGGAGCTCTTTGATGCGTGGAAGTAGTTATAGCAAAGGGAACATTGTTCTTTCTTCTTTTCATTTCTGCTGCCACTGGATAGCTTCATTTACCATGTCTTGCATTTAAATAAATGTTCATGATGTCAGGATCCAAACCAAAAAACAATGAGTATATTTATTTCCAGATTTTCAACCCATCAACTTGTCAGCTGCTCTATTCCTTGCATGATGAGGACACCAATAAACACAGACTCCCTGTCACCCAAATACGATTCCGGCCATTTACAGATGGAGAAAAAACAGAGTATATCCACATCATTATTGCCACATGTAATTTTTTATTTTTATACTTGTCATCAGTGAGCTATTTATAAATCTTAAATAAAATATTACTTTGCAACCACGATGTGGGTTCTTCAGAATAATTAGCCATCAAGTGAACTTTCATTATAATGATGTTATTGACATCTTTTTACTCACAGATCTCAGACTATTTATCAACATAAAAAAAAAAAATCAACATATATTTGACCTAGACACTTCCACTAATTGTAACTCAGTGTGCTATAGGGTTGATCACCCTGCCGATTGGCATGCAGATAAATTCCATTCCCTGAGTGGTTTTCATCTAGAGAGCAGTTGGTGGGGCTTTGGAACTGTGCATTCATGACTTAACACACACTGCTGGCATAAGAATGGGGTTAAAGTGGGGGCTATGATGGCCCAGGGTGGAATTTTTTTCATTATATGGAGTGACACCATTATCTGCAATCTACAGGGGGGGGGGGCATCAGGTACCTTGGCCAGCCCGAGGCAGGCACTAACCCTAGCTACACCGCTGCTTGGGAACAAACGGTTATTCTCTAGCAGAATAAGCTTCATTGCAATACCTCCCTCTTAGTGTTATTGGTGTATATCTGTCACCACTAGCGGGAGCCCATGAAGGTCACCTTAACTCCTTTAATGGCAACTGCACTTGTTCTGTCAATAGCAACAATTTTTCCCATTTGTGCAGATGCATCTGGTCATGTCAAGTTTTGGCACTACACATCTGGCAAGTGTCTGCACACCATTGATGAAGACAGACAGACACTAGCACTCACAGTTAATCCAGAGGGAACACACATCATCACTGCTGGTGCTAATCCACAGATTCACATGTATGATCTGGAAACTAAGAAAAAGATTTCCACCATGGAGCCAAGGTCATCAAATTTCAAAATTGTATACAGTAGTTTTACTGCTTTTTAAAATTAAATGAGGTACAAGTCTAAAATTGCATGTTCAAAAAGCTCTACTGCTTGTCTTTCCATAAAAGTTAATAGATACTTTAATTCCTTCTTAAAGAGTTCAGAGCAAGGTAAGCCTCTCTGAGATAAATTTTTAAAAATGATAACCTAAATTTTTATATATTTTTTTTTACATTGATATAAAGTGATGGGCATGATATCATGGATGGCCATCGATTCAGGGTGTTTGCCCTGCAGTATAATCCGAACCATCCACACATTTTCATATCAGGCGGATGGGATGATACAGTTCAGGTTTGCCTTATCTCTTTTTTATTTTATGTAGTGATAAGAGGGTGAGATTGTTATAATCAAAACAAAATGTTGCACAGTTTTAAAAAAAAATTAATGTAAAAATATGTAAGTGGTTTCTAGCCTTTTCAGAATTCTGCATGTCTTTGGCTACTGACTTCATGTCTTAGGTTTCGGACTTCTTGTTTTAGGCTTCTGACTTCATGTCTTAGGCTACTGACTTCATGTCTTAGGCTTCCAACTTCATCTCTTAGGCTACTGACTTCTTATTTTAGGATTCCAACTTCATGTCTTAGGCTACTGACTTGCCACTGACTTTATTTCTTAGGCTACTGACTTCATGTCTTAAGCTACTGACTTCATTTCTTAAGCTACTGACTTCATGTCTTAGGCTACTTTTATAATTTCCAGTTATAACTTACAGTTATTGTTTCTTACATACATTTTTTATTTAAATTTTAAAATGTATTTGCCCTAAAATTAAAATAATGAGCACCCACACATGATATTTGTTCAAGATGCTAACCAATTTAATTAAATTTGATATTTTACACATGATAATTTTTCAAGATGCTTACCTATTTAATTAAATTTGATATTTTACGACACTTTACATTAACTAAAATACATTTTAAACATGCAATTTTTCATGGCTGAAATTGTAAGATTTTTAGCATTTTGTAATTTTTTTTTCTGTTCTAGTACTGGGATGACAGAAAAATTCATTCAATCAAGTAAGTATTGAAACTGAAAATTGAAAACATGGCCTTAGAAATTATGTTTATGATCAAACTAAATACAAAAACAGGTCTATAATTATTTAGCCAAATATAAATACTGCAGATTGTGTGTTCTCATATTACAGTTGTTTTGTATTGCTTGGCAGTATGCATCTTAATTACAAATATTTACTATTCAGTACTGCTAAAATTTTAGAATAATTAACTTCAAAGCATATAACAAACCTTCAGTTTTTTAATGAAGTTGCCATGGTCACAGTTCTATTCATTCTTTAATTTATAAAAACTATCACTTAACTGCAAAATGTAATCTTTATAAGTCTTCTGATATCATAGCCTACAATTAAGTTTAATTATTTAAATTTAACACCAGCAGACTGACTACATCATTGCTCATGTCTGCTTATTTAGGAAGTTCACTGGCCCACACCTGTGTGGTGACGCCCTAGACATAGACCCCGTCCACAATCATATCCTCACAGGATCATGGAGGAAAAGCCATGTATTGCAGGTAAATACAAGTCAGCAGTGCCTTACTCTTGTGTCATATAGCATTCTCCAGTCATATTTCATTCAACAGGACTTACTCAGTGGTTGTCTCAACTGGGTGATACATTTTAAAGGCTCTGATTTCAAAATGGCTGATTTAGATTTATGATTTTGTAACTAGGAGAAACTCACAGAATAAATGTATGAGGCTAAAAAAACTGTTAAAAGAAATATTAAAAAAAAAAAAAAAAAAAAAAAAAAAAAAAAAATAAATTACATAGGGTTCTATAAATTATACAGTAAAGACATAACACAGAAAATAATGAATGAATTCAATAGTTTATTTAAAAATGCAGATACAAGAAAGAACATCTCAAAATATATTTCAGTCTTCACAAGTTAAAACTATACAAAATTTCATCATGGAAAACATGGCCTTGACCTGATAATGCTTGTGATAAAATATTCTATATTTAGCAACATGTGCAACCATATTCTGGGCTGCTTGAGATTATTTAAAGTAGTTGGTTACAAAAAAACCATACAATTTTCATGACACAATGTGAAAAAATGTTATAATTATTTTGTTTCACTAAAGTGAGAAACCTATTGTTGTAGTATTTATTTTCCAATATTATTTCTTGAATTTTGACTTTTTTTTTTCTTTCTTTTTTTGTAAAGATACTGTTTTTTTAAAAAGCAATTTAAATTATTTTTTAATAATCAATTCATTGCAGATCTGGGACTTTGCCTCAGCTATTAAGATCAAAGATGTGCCACATGACACATTACATCATAGCCAGGTATGTTTTTAAAAATATTTGCACCATCTTCTTGTTGTCAGTTGATAAAATAAAGTGATTTTTAAAATAATCTCACAGTATACAGATGTTCCCTCAGTGCCTTTCATCAGTGAATTTCTTCACCTAATTCAATATAATGGCACCCCTGTAAAACCATGAACGCTATGAAAGATAGTTCACTATCATATTTTTTTTTCCATTTTGCCCTTGCAGCTCTACTGCGCTCAATGGCTGGGAAAAGATAGCATCATATGTGGTGGAACAGATCAAAATATGGCCAGAACTATTGACAGAGGTACCCTCAATGTAAGTCATGGCTCCTATTTAAACATCAACCATGCATTATATTTTTATAATGATGAAGTAGACTAGCAGTTTGTAGAAGAAGAAGAAAAGATCAAACTTCTAAAAGCAGATAGCTAAATGAAAAATCTTCAGATCAATCACATAAAAATTCAATATTATCCTGGGTTCTCCTCCACTAGGATGAAATCATGTAAATATTGACACATTTTTTCAATACATAAATACACCTGCCACTTATTCTTAATTTAATCAAAATACACATTAATATATACCAGTATATAAGAATGAGCTAGGCTGACCATATAACGCTAAAAAGAAACTAATGGCTTTAAATTAAATGCATTCGATTTCTTAAAAAACAATATTAAGGATTTTCTATTATTTCATGGAAATTGAATCAATTTAAATATGATAAAAAATAAATACTTCTGCTTATATTTAAGTCAATTTATATGTTTAAGTATTAATATCATATATTAGAAATACATTTAATATAACCATTAAATAACTATTTTAAGCTTTTTGTCCAAATTTGAAAGTTAAGATATTATTTTTATTGTCAATAAATGATCATCTATGCACTACTTACTGTTATTAAATCGTAATCACATTTATTGGGAATACCCAAACGTCTGTTATTGTTTTTGTTGCCAGTTAATATTGCAAAATTAAATTTAAATTTATTTTTACTTCAAACAATATCAAATTAAAATTTTTGATTGAACTCAAATAAATAAAAATTATATAAATTTCATAAGAACTAAACTTAAACTCGAACATCAAAAGCTTCAATTTTCCTTGAAAAAAATAATAATGATAATTTATTTTCACCTATTTAAAAAAACAAAATTAATAAATACAATTGATAGATTTTTACATTGTTAATAAAACCACACCAACTTTTAGCTTTGTATTTTTAACATTTAATAAGTTTTTACTTATTTTTCATTCCAAAAATGTGCTTTTTATCAAAATTTATAAAGTAATAAAAACTTGACTTTTAACCCTACCAACCCTGACACAATGAACCAAACTGTCCCCTATCCCTGTACATTAAAGAGAATAAACCAACATGATGTAGAAAAATGTTAGTTACATGCAAACAAGTTTTTAGAATAAGATGGAACTTGGAAACATTGTAGAAAATAGGTCTACCTTTCATCTAGCACCAATATTCCACCTTTTTGTGCCAATCCACCCATCAGGATGAGCCTTGTTTCACACACAGGTACTTATAAAGTGAGCACCAGATGTTGCTCTTCATCTTCCTACATGGATTGTCTTCGTAAGACACTCCAGGATTTTGGTAGTTGTACCTGGAGTGCTTTTCCATGCCCACAACACAGATATGATTAGACGATGTGTCACTTGAACTGGAAACGTATTCAGAATAATTCTTGATAGAATTCTGACTCCTCACAGTCTGAATCAACCAAAGTATTGATCACCTGTTGGACTGTGATAAGTCTAGACTTACTTCGCTTTCCTGTTGAAGTGCTTGGTTCATCAGTCAGTCATTGTGAATTTTCAGAATTTTTTCACGTCAAACCACACAAAGTCAATGCAAACACATGGGAGCAGACATTAGCAATTATACCTCAGAATAAAGGAATGAATTTGATCAATAATGATCCTGCTTCGGGAAACACATATCACATGGAGGGAATAGGGTGTGTATCTAAAATTCCAATGATATTACAGTATTGAAAAAGAGTCGTTTTCTCTTTCAACAAATAAACAATGTTAGACCAATTTAGAAAATATATTTCAATGGCGTTGACAAACCGTGGGTTCATTTACATTAGTATACCCATGCCACAAATAAAAATATCAAAACTTAATAATTTTATGCATCATATTTTCTACACAAGGCCTGCACAACTTAAAATGTAAGGTGGGTCGTAATAATTTATGAAAAACTTGTGTAGGCCAAAAGAAAACAGGACAGGACTTGTGAGGGCCAAAAGAAAATAGGACAAGGGGGACTGCTATTAAGAAAATAATACGAATAAAGAAAATTTCGTTACTTCGCGAGCCACAAAGTGGTTGCTGGCAGGCCGCATGTGGCCCGCGGGCTGTATGTTGTGCCGGCCTGTTCTACACGGTATTGGGGTGTATTGTGAAACTTTGTGAGAATCTTGATATATATTTAAAATTTAAACATTTTAATTGCAGACTACAGGTCAACTGGTTGACCTACCCCAAGGAGTTTACTGCATTGATAATGACAGGCAGCTGACTTTCCCAAAGATTGCTGTGGGTTCCAACAGATACATTTACATTCTCAGAGCAGACAAAAGAAATGCCAACAGCTGAAGTAAGCTGCAATATACTTTGGATGAATTCACATTAATAATTCAATTTCAAAATGTTTCGAATTATTTTTGTTTTAAAATTTGATAACTTGAAATATTTTAATGATGTGGCGATCTATAAATCAATGCTGCATTGCTGTTTCATAAATACGTCTGATGACTTATTAACTAAATGTTTTAATTGGGCTATCATCACACTTGTATTCTAGAGTGTTAATTTCTGTGTAATGCCTAACGTGGAAGCTACACTCCAGTACTCCAAATAATGATATCTTTATTGAAATTAGTAGTTGTTGATGCTTTTTATCCTCCTACTTGTAAAGAATGAAAAACAATTTAAAATGAAAATAAGAAAGCAACCTATGTCTTCATTGAATCAACTATTTTTTCCATGGATAATTTGTTAATAAATATATATAATAATTCAACAACTGATTTTTTTGTGACTAGGGTTAACTATATTTCTTGAAAAAAAATTAAATTTTCACTTGCCTTACTTTTTTGGCTGTGTGCACTTCCAAAAGTGGTAAGAACATGAGGGTAATTTCCATAAGATTTTTAAATCAAAATGGCCGTACATTTATGAATGTGTCTATTCACTTGCTATGTCTACTATACTCAAGAATTTAGCATTTAATAAGGCAGCTTATACTCAGCTAATGCATATTAAAAAATTGTCTATTTTTGCTAAGATTGTGTTTTTCTATGTTGGTATAAACTTCTGTTTTATGTCAAGTACTGAGTACCGGATCTAAACACAAGCTTTCTAAGAAATTTTAATTTAACTTGACCTTCTGTTGTGGTGGAGTAATCCAAATTTGGATATCATTAGTGTTATCTTAGAAATTACAATCCACCTTGCTAAACCTAAATTACAAAACCCACACAGAAATGAGGTCAACTAGTTATTTGTGGAAAAATAAATTTGATTCTTGTTTGATGTATGATTTAAATCAGTGTTTCCCAAACTTTTTATTTTGATGGATCGGTGGATAAGTTTCCCATTGCACCAGAGACTATGGCCAGATTTATTAATAATTTTTTATCTTTTTATTGGAACCTAAATATGTCTTAAAATATTTTTTTCTGATCCGAGAGGACTCTGTTAACTTTTACAGTTGAATTGTTAACTTTTACAGTTGAATGCTAGCTGCTTTACTTGTGTAGCTAATTAACTTTAAACACTTTTATCCAGTTTCTTGTCTCAGGTTGTGCTAACGGTTCCTGCCAGTATGTAGACAACCATTGTGGGATAGACTGATTTAAATGATACACATTATTAACATTATCTTATTATAGATGATCAATTAAGCTAATTTTTTTGTAAATAATATATAAAGGGTCTGAAATATAAAGGTTTGGAAACCTCTGCCACTAAGATTTACCAAATTTTAAGTATATGTTTGGTATAGTTTCATGTGTCTGATAAATATTCCTCAAAATTGCATTTTATATTTACAACCAAAGCGCCACTGTGAGAACCATTCCTATCTGTACACAAAAGAGCTTTTGTCAATGACTAAATTATTCTTAATATTGCTATATAAGGATTGTATAAATTGTTAAATATATACCGTATACAGTGATAAATTTAATATGTGATAATAGCGCACAAATAAGGTTGATTTTTCTACATCTCCTTTTGTTTTATCCAGCCTTATCATAACAACGTAATTTCAATTTTTTTTGAGATTGCAAGTCATAAATCCCTCCATTTTTTTCTTAAACTGTGTACATCCAAGTGAGGTCAATTTTTATTTTTTGATAGGTTTTTAATACTTTTTTTAAAACAAAAAAAATCAATGTTCATATTGCATGCAGCATTTAAGGTGTAAATGTGTCAGTGAGTAATGGCAAAGATACTTGCTGTATGTCTTTTTGTTTTTTTTTCAAACTTAGTTGATGTGAATGAATGTGTTAAAATATAGTTCTGTTGGAATGAAAGACTCATCCTGCTCAAATAAGAAATAATCCCATACAATTTCAACACAGTCTTATCTAATACCTTGTAAAAAATGACAGAGGCTTGAGCTTTATTGCACGTCCCTTCTCCAGTACTAGATGGTGATGTGTATTGATTCTTAAAGTAGATGATGTTAGGAAAGATTTGGAGAAAAGATTTAGAAAATCATGATCACTTGGATTTGATTTTCTTGTGTTAAGCATAAAGTACTATAGACAGTTGTGGCTACAGCCCAATTCTTAACCACTTTTTTTTTTTTGCTCTCGAGCAGCATCTTGCAGTGAAGATGCTGAATAGTTTTTTTAAAATGATTTGCCAAACATCGATGCCCTTTTGTGCAGGAACTTTTAAGAAATGCAATTTTAAATTTAATGGTTCTCAGTTGTTTGTTTTTGTCACTTCAAAGAAATGCCTCTCAGAGTGTGTAAGTGTAAGACTGACTGGCTTAGCTGTGCACAAAAAAAGAGTCAAAGGGTTAGAGGTCAGCAGAGACTGAGCGTAGAACAAGTATGTGCAGTGTTCACGTATTCCCTGGCTGATGGCTGGCAACACTCCTCACACAAATTTCGTTGACAGGTCTTGACTAAAATTGACTCATCCAAATATGTAAAATCTTTTCTTTTTAAAAAATTTTTGTTGTTGGTTTAACACTTATCTAGACTTTCATCTCCATGATCAAATTGACATAGGAAATATACACACACAAATTGAGGAATTTTGAAAATTCACTTTGTAGCAACTGGCACTGGTATCAGCTAATGGAAGTCTGCAATGTTTTACCAATGAAAACTTCCAGTGTGGCATAGATTAAAATCATGGCAAAACAGCAAACACGACCTATTTTCTAGAGCAAATTAAGACTGAGTTATTATGTCTTTTAAACTTCAGCTATACCAGTATGTAAATATGTAGTAATTTCCTGAGAAGTACAACTTCTTAAGAAAAATCTGTTTGATCCCATGACATTCAATTTGTGTTCTTTTTAGGTGTACTTGTAATTGTTCAATTATTAGTGATTTATTTGGTAATGTCGATTGTTTAATATTTTTTTTTATATCATGTACACATTTATACACAACTGTAGAAGCAATGATGTGCTTGTACATGTTGTAGACCTACTCTTGTCCACTGCTGCAGAGGTACAGGTATGCTTTCACACTGTTGGCATATGAAAAATGCCTAATAACTATGGCTCTGTGGTACAAACTGACTGATGGGGAACCTTTTAATTTTTCAAGAGTTGGTTTGGTTCATGATTTTAAGGGGGGGGGGGTGTTATAGCAAACATGAGAGGATGCACACACATTGGGGGAAATGTTATAACGGTCATGAGAGGGGGTATGCACATTGGGGGAAATGTTATAACAGATTTTTTAAAGAGAATGTTCTATCTGAACCCCTTACCCACTCCCACCCAAAACAACAACAACATGCAGACCCCGCCTGTAAAAATGCCTAGGGATCCCAATTCTTATCATAAGCAAGCTCTTAATATTTCCAGTAACAACATCAACCCCATGTAAATCTACATGAACCATATGGTGTCAAAACCGCTCATTGAACTATAGCTTGAAATCTGATTAATGTCATAACTTTTTATCATGTTTGTAGGGTTGCTGTTGACATATGTCAAGTTTGCTCAGACAATCAATGTTATATAATATATATTTATATTATGTCTAAAATATGATGCTATTCACATATTCAAGAACTTCAGTCACTTGATGGGATTTTTGTGACCTGCCATAGGATTTATTTATTTCTTACTGACTTCCAATAAATCATTGATAAGACTGGAGCTTGGAGCCTGTCAGAAGGTAGATAGTGCCTGTCAGTAGGTAGATGGTGCCTGTAAGTAGATGGAGATGGTCAGTAGGTAGATTGTGTGTTGCTTTTGTATGGTGTGCATGGCATTTTGTAGAATGATGGTGGTCAGATCTGTACTGATGGCCATGCTGTAAGGAGCTACTGCAGGTGCGATGACTTTATCAGAAAATAAAAATAAATTATTCAATAAAGTGACTGGTGAGGATTATTTAATTGATTTTACTATATTTTTATTTTTTTTAAACAATCACTGTAACATTGTGGATCACTGTAGTTTATTTAGTGATCACTGCAGTTTATTTAGTGGATCACTGTAGTTTATTTAGTGGATCACTGTAGTTTATTTAGTAGATCGCTGCAGTTTATTTAGTGGATCGCTGTAGTTTATTTAGTGGATCACTGCAGTTTATTTAGTGGATCACTGTAGTTTATTTAGTGGATCACTGCAGTTTATTTAGTGGATCACTGTAGTTTATTTAGTGATAACTGCAGTTTATTTAGTGGATCACTGTAGTTTATTTAGTGGATCACTGCAGTTTATTTAGTGGATCACTGCAGTTTATTTAGTGGTTCACTGTAGTTAATTTAGTGGATCACTGTAGTTAATTTAGTGGATCACTGTAGTTTATTTAGTGGATCACTGCAGTTTATTTAGTGGATCACTGTAGTTAATTTAGTGGATCACTGTAGTTTATTTAGTGGATCACTGTAGTTTATTTAGTGGATCACTGCAGTTTATTTAGTGGATCACTGTAGTTAATTTAGTGGATCACTGTAGTTTATTTAGTGGATCACTGTAGTTTATTTAGTGGATCACTGTAGTTTATTTAGTGGATCACTGTAGTTTATTTAGTGGATCACTGTAGTTTATTTAGTGGATCACTGTAGTTTATTTAGTGGATCACTGTAGTTTATTTAGTGGATCACTGTAGTTTATTTAGTGGATCGCTGCAGTTTATTTAGTGGATCGCTGCGGTTTATAGAACACAAAGATTTGCTACAAATCACTTTCAGTAATTTGACCACAGCTTACTGAGGATATTTTACCACAACCTAAACAAAGATGTAATCAAACAAGGTGACATCTTTATTGAATTATTATAGGTTACTTTTACTCTTTTTTTTTTCCTATTGAAAAAGGTTAGAGTCTAGTTGTTTATTTATATTATCAATTATATAATTTTTTTTTTCTTTAATCGAACATGAGCTTTTTTTTGACCATCACATCTTACATAAATTTTATTTTACAAATATTTGTGTTCATATAAACTGAATAGTTAACAATAGTGTGTCCTGAAGTCCTCTGACATAAACTCTAACAAATCAGAAAGTGATGCAAACAATGTTTATTTATATGATTTCTTCTTTTCTTATGAAATAATCGAACCGCCAGGCGCACTATGTCCTTTGTCAATGCAGAGTATCATTTATTAGACATTAATTTGACCTTGGAAAAAATTAAATTCCTTAAAAAATTCGTCTTTCTCTGTCCTTGCGTTTCATTTGGCTGGTTGGAGACTGCTTCTTTTCCTCTTTTTCTTTTCATAAATGTTTGACACCAGTTTTCTCAATAGCAGGATGGTATCTTGAAGATATACGCTCCCAATTCGATATCTGACAGCTGCTCCCCTTTCATATTTGTATCCTCGTCTTTGTACTTCATATTGTATCCGCATCTGTGTTCTTCGCCTTGTTGAGTCCCCTATTTATTTATTTTTTTTAAAGTAGTCCTTTTCATTTCTTTTTTTTAATTTAAAAAAAAAAAAAAATTTTTTTTAAGTAGTGCGGATTGTAATCCTGTCCTGGACAGTGACATTTCCAATACCTCAGGCTGGGATCAATACTAACAGAAATCTTACCATGTGGCGCACCCAGATTCACCATTTAGCCGTGCACATATCACGGAAGAGCAACTTCCAGGGGGAATATGGTGCTAGTCGGGCCATATTACTTGGATGTCCACACCGGCGCTGTCCTCTACAAACAGGTCTGCTACGTTTCAGTTTGAGCACCGGTGTGCCATTTCATTTTTGGGCCAGATCAGTGCGTACAGTCTTATAGGTAATCAACAGCTTCAGCTTGCTCGGTCATTGAGCCAATGCACTGGAACTGGCGACCTTCTCTAGCTGTGACCACCTTACATTGAACCTATATTAAAGAGACAACGAATATCTGGTGTGACCACCTTACATTGAACCTATATCAAAGAGACAACGAATTTCTGCTGTGACCACCTTACATCAACCTATATCAAAGAGACAACGAATATCTGCTGTGACCACCTTACATTGAACCTATAACAAAGAGACAACGAATTTCTGTTGTGACCACCTTACTTTGAACCTATATCAAAGAGACAACGAATTTCTGCTGTGACCACCTTACTTTGAACCTATATCAAAGAGACAACGAATTTCTGCTGTGACCACCTTACATTGAACCTATATCAAAGAGACAACGAATTTCTGCTGTGACCACCTTACTTTGAACCTATAACAAAGAGACAACGAATTTCTGTTGTGACCACCTTACTTTGAACCTATATCAAAGAGACAACGAATTTCTGCGTTAATTCTTCCTAACTTGGATATCGAAGAATTTTGTTGTTATTTGATGTAAGGAATGTAATTATTATTATTATTAATATTATTATTATCTTTAAAAAAAACTTTTCTAAAGATAACATGAAGCCAAAGAAGATTACTGTAAAATATCTCAGTTCGACAGTATAACTGTGAAAGAAAGAATTGAAAGTCTCGCTGTTCCCCTGAAACAGTAGTATAGCTACCAAAAGAAATAAAATAATAATTATTAAATTCAATGCAAAATGTGGCCATGTCATGTGTTGAGTTCGCTGCGTTACCAGCAGTAGTTGTTTTGTTTTTTAAATTATTGTTTAAATTGATACGCTTGAGGGCATGACTGATGGTTAAAAAGGGCGTTTCAAATACTCTGCATCATTTCTTCTTTCACTCAACTGCATCATGGCCAGCGGGGCATTTAGACGAAAAAGTTTTTAATTTAAAAAAAATTATTGATGCGTTTAAATTAATTGTTTCAGTTAAAACTAGATGCGTCGGACAGATGGCAGTCAACAGGCCGACCGTCGTCACTACGATACTACCAGTTCAGTTCCAACAATACCTCTTATAATAGCGGATCCATACAAAAAAATACTAGTTTTGTTGTTTTTGTTGTTGTTGTTTTGTTTGTTTTTGAGGGGGTGGGGGAGGTTGCCTCAACAACTCGAAGTATCAATGGTAACAAACTTAAAAATTAAGACATAGTTATTTAAGGGAATATGCTTGCCGGGAAGATGGTAGACCCAAAGAAACTTAGCCGCAGAATAAATGTCTGTTCCAGGCAAACATGGCCCTGTGGACAAGCTCCGACAGAAGCAGCAGCTACGCAGAAGCGGTGGTCCTCCGGTTATCGCATGAGGTGCTAAATGAATGAACGCGTAAGCCTTAAAAGAAATGGAAACGATTTTAACATATACATTTGATTGGGAAAGTGAAAATGACCAGGTATGGGGTATCGCCTCCCAGCCACACGGGGGATCGCCCCCCCCCCCAACCCAACCGGGAGATTGCCCCCTAAACCCCACTCCCACTGCCCTCGAGCGATTAATCCAACATTGGACATTTTTTAGTTTTCACACGGTATTTCTCCCGAATTATTCCACACAAACAGTTCAAACACACACACACACACACTTTTAGGGAACTACAAAAAAAAAAAAAAAACTCAGACCAAGACCTTCAAGATTGGAAACAATATGTGCAAAGTAATCAAGTAGATGGGACTCGTTAACCTTGGTCGGCAGCTCATCTAAGAAAGGGAAACTCTTAAATTCAAACCCAGAGATGGCGTCCCCTACGGGCGGCAAACATCGAAACCATGAATCACTCCGACAACCCCTGCGACGCCGCGGATGCCATCACTGAGAGCGCAGTGAGCATGCTAAAATAGCATGGATACTTAGCGCTATATAAGTATTCAATCAATAACAAAAATAAAAAAATTCCATTTATTTGGATCAATGGAAGCAACAGGGTCCACGCCGCCCTCCCCCCCCCCAAATTTTAAACAAAAAAAAAAAAAAAAAAAAAAACAAAAACAAAAAAAAAATGGATGCCAACACTGAGAGCGCAGTGAGCATGCTAAAAAAACATGGATACTTAGCGCTATATAAGTATTCAAACAATAACAAAAATAAAAAAATTCCATTTATTTGGATCAATGGAAGCAACAGGGTCCACGCCGCCCTCCCCCCCCCCACACTTTTAACCAAAAAAAAAAACAACAAACAAACCAACAGTAAAACAAAGTATCTTAAGCTAAATTTATGTAGCATCATGCGTTTAAAAATAGAGTCGCGTGTGAATGGACGGGAAACCTAAATTTGGACTGATAACATAGGGATTTGTGGCTAAAGAG